TGATGTTCACAGCGCTGGATGTGTTTCAGCTTTTGTCTTCTCCAGATGTTAACTGATGGACTGGAGTGCTGTGGATTATTGTGATGTTTTTATCAGCTGTTTGAACTCTCGTTCTGACGGCACCCATTCACTGCAGAGCATCCAATAGTCTGAAAGGACCTTGCGTGACCATTTGTTATTTGCAAACAAAGCAGCGTGTTCTCATCTACAGACATGTTCAGTCGTGTCTGTGTCTGAAGCTTGTGTTTCATATTTCATTAGACTGTTTTTCAGCAGATTCTGGATCTTTCATGAAGAGGCCAGTCGCTCACAGCCTCATAATCAAAAACATGAATTCCAGAAGCATTACTGGCCTCGGGCTGTGCATGCTGGGAATTAACGCCGCTTCTCAGCACTTGAAGCACTGAAATCGTGTGATTTTGGCATTACGACACAATTCAAGATGCTTGAGAAACATGAATTACAGGAATCAGCCTGGAGTTTGTTCTAAACGACCCGTTTAACGTCTTCAGATGACTGAACTTCAGCTGAGAGCCACTGTGAAACATTCACTGGAAGCAGTTCATCCCTGCTAGTGTTACTATAGTCAGTGTGGGTTAAACCATATGACGAGAGACTTCACTAGGACATCTGACTGTGAAAACACTCAGAACACCCTAGCAACCGCACAGCAGAACCCCGGCAACCAGCCACAACAGGCCAGCGCAGTGATATTAGACAGTCGCCTCGTCTCTGTTCTTCTGTCCTGAGGAATTCTGGAAAGCCCCTCGGCCTTGTTCTGAGTACAGACGACAGAGATTCACGTGAGATGAGTGTGAGCCGCTGTCTGACGTCAGCTCCTCCACCCAAACTCACACTCACTCAACACACATCTTCTGTCTGACTCGAGAAGGTTTCCTGGCAGATTTTACAGCGGTTATGAGCTGATGAAATCCGAAGCGTCTCTCTGCATGTTTCACGTTTTTTCTGACTTCAGATCTGTGCCAGCTTTGTTCTCCTCAAACTTCAGTCTGCGCTTAGACGAGAGCGCCACCTTCTGACTGCAAGTGTTTCAACAGGTTTACCAAGTTTCCCAGGTTAAAAAAAGTACACTTCCATAATGTACTTAAAGGCACAATATGTAATTTTCGCCGCTGGAGGGCGCGTATTCAAAATAAAGAAATAGACAAAGGCGTAGTTTGATGACGGCGTGACTGAGTGTGGAATCATGGGAGTTGTGGTCTTCATTCTCACAGCCGACGCAACCCGACGGGACTCGGCCAGAAATCATTTTCACGGATGAGCTAATGATTTATTAACGTAGTAGAATGAAGCAGGGTGAGGCTGAAAGCCGTCGAAGCGAAACGAGGCGCTGAACGAGCGCGACACACGGCTGGAAAGCAGCGGAGCTTTTATTATGCCACAGTCGAGCGCTTCCGCTGCTTCCGGTCGTGCGTATGTGGGGTAAAGCAGCGCTGTTTTATCATACTAGATACGTTTAGTTCTGTTATAATGCTACTCTGTGCGCTCGTCACTGGTCTAATAAAACACGCAACATATTAAAGCGTCTTTGGTGTTTCCATGTTTTCTACTAGGGACGCACCAATACTGATATCGGTATCGGGCCCGATACTGAGCTCTTGTACTCGTACTCGTTAAAATGCCCCGATACCACACAGCATGTGATAAGTGCCATATTCAGACAAAGAAACACTGAAAACAGAACAACAGACAGCGGAATGGAGTTAAGTATGTCTACTACGAAGTATATGTATGCAATGAATATAACGTTAAACGTTCAGTATTAATGTCTGTATAGCTGATGTGCGCGAGCTGATAAACAAAGCACGCTGAGTGGATTGAGTGGTATCGATTAAGTGGTATCGGTGCATCCCTAATTTCTACAAAACAAAACCAGAAGTCGAGGAGTTTTGACGTCATTAGCAGGCGACACATTGACACTATGGACACGCTCCGTGACACTAGTTAAAATTGCTTATTTCTCTGGATTTAAACATTCTTCGAAACATTTGGGATATTGTAAGTACACAAGTCAGCAAAATATATAACACTGTTCTAGTGGTTTTTGGATATTTTAATAAAAAAATCTTACATATTGTGCCTTTAAAGTGCTCTATTATCGCACACTAATTTTGTACTTAATATACTAAAAATTATTCTTTAGTACCTCTTAAGATAATCTAAGTGTACTAAAATGAACATGAATACGAACTAAAATCCGCTTTTAATATACTGTCTCTGCATTTAAGAAAATGTATTTAGTCATTGCTTGTAGTACACTTGAGTGTTCTAGTGTATGAAAGATGGGTTCAAGTGGTGACTAAATACATTTTTTAAATACAGAGATAGTATGTTAAAAGCACATTTTAGTTCATATTCATGGTGTCCCAAAATAGCACAGTTGAGTACACTTAGATGATCTTAAGAGGTACTAAAGAATCATTTTTAGTGTATCAAGTACAAAATTAGTGCACGAAAATAGAGCACTTTAAGTGCATTATAGAAGTGTACTTTTTTTCAACCTGGGTTGAGATCAAAACAAACCCCATTTATTTTCTCAAAACACACTCGTGCTCTCATCAGTGATGTTATTCTAAAGAAATAGATGTTTGTCGTTATAATCTTTCATCTAAATGTACTAACTGGCTCGACATCATCTAGTTCAGCAGTTCTGACTCCATAGCTTCTCATGTAGACTTAACACTAAAATACATTTGTTTATTGAAATAAAGCAGAATTAAAATATAAAAAGTAGATTCAAAAGTAGACAAAAATTAGAAATGTTGCCTTGGAAATAAGCTTAAAACTGATTGATGAAAGCACTAAAATTACTAAGTTGATATAAAAAACTAAAACTGAAACCGAATTAAAAATAAATGAAATATGTCTATAACCGATTCTACATCACTATAATTAGTAATATTTAATAATAAAAATGACAAAAGCATATAAAAATTGACCAAAAATAAACTAAAATTAACATGAAAACATAAAGCTAATCAAAATATTAATAAAAACTATAAAAGTATCTAAATAATAATACAAAAAAAAACTGCTTTAATGACAAAACTGCCTTTATAGGTTGAAAATAATTGTCAAATAATTACATTCTTTAATTCGACAGGTTTTGAAAAAGTGAATGTTTCACACAGTTCACACGTGATTTTTCCAGTGGTTTGTGATTACAGGACAAGGCTTATTTTCTAAACTATTTATTACTCAGAAACAGCAGCTTCTCCCCACTCACAATATATCACTCATATATCCACAAGACCACGAGAACCCTGGTTCTTAATAAAAAGGACAACTGTTGAGGGAACCAATTCAAATAAAAAATCAGCTAACATCTTCATTTGTAGCCGTTTCGGCTTATTTTAAAGCTTTCGTCATATTGAGTGCTTATCATTATTGTAAAAGCATTCATATCAAATAACGCTAGATTTGGAAAGTGTTACCGCCGGGAAATACAGGAGGAGATGCTGTGGGCCTTCGGTTTCCTCCGCTTCAGCACGTGATTCTGATATGAAGCATCAACTCCTGATGGATAAAATCATTCGTTTCTCACTGAAATATCACACTACAGAAGTAAAACACCCAGAATGACTCATAAACACACTCACTGTCACACAAGTCAAACACACGGTCCAGTAGATAGTTAACTGAAAACAGTTTAATTGTATTAACGATCAGCCAGAGAACAGTTACTGCATGACTTCACCATCACAGCTGCTGGAAAACACATGTGCTAGTTTCACATTAGTTACCAAAGCATGTTCACGTTTATGTACATAGTGCAAAAGACACGCCGATGAAGATCACTCCAAACACAGAGAGAGAGAGAGAGAGAGAGAGAGAGAGAGACACGGATCCGTTAGCACCGCACCGAACGCTGCTACAGAAGCTTATTGCACCGAGATCCTGCTGCTCCATTCATATGGAGTACCGGATCTATTAGCCATAAACACAGACAATTAGTGAACATCATCGTTATAACATCACAAATCCTTCATGTGGAGATGAACGTGGCTTCACCTCTCAAGCGCTCCACTACAGACGGAGGAGGAAGAGCAGAGTAAATCAGAGTAAACTAACGCACACAGACAGGAGCAATTTACACAGATCCGTCAGAACCAGGAGAAACGAGCCAAACCGAAGACACACGTGGAATATACACACTCCGGATCAGTTCCCGAGTTCAAGCGCCATAAACCGAGACAACCGGAGAGTATTAGAAACATTTAAACATGTTATTTACACAGGACTGGTTCATTTGTTCAAGACGTCTGCTGCTTGTTTGTTAATGCTTCGCGGTCGCTTTTCCCGGTTAAACGAAACGCACGTTCAGATGAGAGCCACAGAGAAAACGTCATTGATTTTAAGAAATAATTCACCTAAACGCTCAATCATTTACTCACTTTAAACACGTGTGACTTTATTTCTTCAATGCAACACGGACGAGATGTTCAGAAGACTGTTCAGCTGCTCATTTTTAAGGGAGAAGCACAAAAACACTGTAAAGCATCATGATAGCGATTCATTTGACTCAGTGATTCAGTACAGCTCTCAAATATCACAATTTAGAGGAATCGTACACCCAAAAATTATTCTGTCATTATTTAGTTCTTACTGACTTACTTTCTTAAGTGGAGCACAAAAGACGATATTTTAATTTATTTGTCTATATACAAGAAGTCAATGGGGTCCAAAGTTGGTTCTTTTAAATATCTTTAGTAAATGGTGATTTGATGGTGCTTTAAGTCCAGTTACATGACCAAACCGGTGGCGTGTTTGCTGTTGTTTACTCTGTGAATGAGTGATTTCAGATTTAGTTGTTCACCCTAATCCAAACTAAGCATGCAGGCGTCTGTTATGATGCTTTACAGTGCTTCTGTGTGATTTCTGAAGGCGTGATATGAGCGCGAGTTATTCACAGAGAGCGTGTGAGCGGTCGGTCTGTCCGTTATCAGTTCCTGAGTCGTGTTTGTGTTACGTGTGACCTCTCATCCCGTGTGTGAACTCGCCGCCGGTTCGGTGAGATCAGAGGAGTCGAGCTCCTCCTCGTCGCTCCGCCGCTCTTCCTCATCTTCATCCTCCTCGTCCTCGGTGCTGCTCTGTCTGCGCAGCTGCATGTTCTCCAGGGTTTTGGAGACCCAGGACTCGATCCTGGAGCTGAGTGGTGGCACCTGCACAGAGATGGGCTCGGGGGTGTAGTCCTCCTCCTCTTCCTCCTCCTCCTCCTCCTCCTCCAGCATGCCGGGCACCAGTGTGCTGGTGGTGCTGGTGATGGAGGAATTGAGCCGGTCTCTGCAGCTGCCGTCTAGAGAGGCGGTGTCTGTGCTCTGCTGGGATGCCCACTCCAGCCGGTCGTCCGTGCGGGACTCATCTCTCTCTGGAGCGCGCGCGACCGTCGGCTGCGGAGGCTGCTCTTTGCTGCTCGCTCTGCTGACAGGTTCAGTCTCCAGTGGCTCCGGAGCGTCTGCGCTCTCCACCATCGTCCTCCAGTTGGTCTCTGCAAAGAGAAGATTCAGAGTCAGTCGTAGGCCTGGGCGATAAAACGGTATCGATATTTATCGACGGTACACCTTCTTCGATAATGATAGAATTTTTTTTCGATATATCGACGCAGACAGCACACACAAACAGGAACACATGCTGAGTGCTGTGTCTGCTTGTGATGAGGAGATTGTGAATAAAGTATGAATATTAGTCGAGTTTAAAATAAACATTTGAATGTTAGGAGTGCGTCAGGGAGCGTCATGCGGTGGTGGTGATGTAAGTGACGTTGTTGATTTTAATGTTTTGTTAGTCTAGCCCACGAGACGCGCCGCTGCTATTCATTCAAAACAAAACATTAGAGAAATATAGAAGCTCAATGCGGAGAAGATCTAGATTAGGTTAAAACCCAAACCAAGCCATTCACACAGATGCATATTCAGCACATTTTCTAGACGGACAAATACGACTGCTGCTCTCGCGTCTCACACAAGAGATGTATAGAAAGCCATGCAAAGTTAAAACAGTTTAAACTTTTAGAAAACACGTCACGAATTTGTGGAGGTTTATTCCTTTTCACTGCGTCTCGTATGTTTTTAAAGGCAGTCTGTGATCGGCGCTTCGGCTCTTTAGATAAAGCAATGCATAAATACATGATGCTGTTTTGTTCATAATTGTTCATGCAATTTACGAAATTATATTTGATTTATATGAGTTAATTTAGACGTAATGCACGTTTTTTATAGAGTTATTTCCTTGCGTTGACAATTTAAATGCGCTGCATTATTTTGCTCATTGCGCCCTCCTGTGGCCTCGGGAGACAAGACAAAAGCTTCCTTAAGATCTCTTTAATCTGCATATAAAACACTAGAAATTAGATATTTAATTTTTATTTTGTGTTTGATTGTTAAAACAAAAAATATTTGTTGTTTGTCTCAATAAATTGGGTTAATTTAAAAATACAGTGGTTAAATGTAAACATTTTTTCTATGCTATACTATTACAGCTATGCTCAAGGGCCTCGTCCAGACCGCCTGCACACACGCACGCGCACACACACATAAACACACATGCGCATATGCACACACACACACACACATACATCACAAAATATAAAACACTTTCCAACCAGACTAAATAAACCCAGAAAGCTGCCACCTGTTTCTACAGGTGTAGACAGCTGATTCAATCTTTGACTCTCAATCTGACCTTTGGCCTGGATCTTCTCACAGTTGGGTGAGATGATGACACACTTGATCTTGTGCAGTTTCATGTGTTTGGTGACCTCTCGCAGCCCCATGACCAGCCGCCGCTTGGCTTTGCTGGTCTCCTTCTGATAAACCCGCTCCTGAAATCGAACCAGCTCCTGCAGGAGCAGCGTCACGCTCTCATCGATCTCCTTACTCAACACCTGATTACAGTACCTGACACACAGAGAGAGAACGAGAGAGAGAGAGAGCGCGCTTTAAATGTCATCAAACAGACTGATAACCTCAGAGTGATCCTGATGATCAAAATCTGTGTGTTACGGCTATTTCACAACTGACACATTGAACATGAAGTTAATTAAAGAACTTACATGATAAGACATTAACTACGACAAAAACATTCAAATAAACGACTTCAGCCTTAGTTCCTATTTCATCTAAAGGAACCCTGTTTCCGCCACTGAATAAAAAATAAAAAAAGGTCATTACAACTTTACATCTCACAATTATTATCTCACAAGATTTTGAGTTTATATCAAGCCTTAGTTCCTATTTCATCTAAAGGAACCCTGTTTCCGCCACTGAATAAAAAATAAAAAAGGTCATTACAACTTTACATCTCACAATTATTATCTCACAAGATTTTGAGTTTATATCAAGTAATTGTGAGGGAAAAGTCAGAATTGTAAGATAAAAAGTCGCAATTAGCGTTTTTTTATTCAGTGGCAGAACTGAAGTAGTTGAAGGTATAGTTCACCTAAAAATGAAAATTCTGTTATTAATTACTCACCCTCATGTCGTTCTAAACCCGTAAGGCCTTAGTTCATCTTTGGAACACAAAATAAGATATTTTTGATGCATTCCGAGAGCTCTCTGACCCTCCATAGACAGCATTTGTTTTTATTTTCTTTGTGCACAAAAAGTATTCTCGTAGCTTCGTAAAATTACGGTTAAACCGCTGATGTCACATGGATTATTTTAATGATCTTCTTGCTATGTTTCTGTACCTTGATCGTGTAAGGACCCTTGCTGTCTATGGAGGGTCAGAGAGCTCTCGGAATTCATCAAAAATATCTTATTTTGTGTGTGTGTACAATTGTGTGTCCAGAGAGAATAAAAATAAAAGTCATTTTTGTGGGGAGGCCAACAGAAAATAATCCTTATTGTTGAGCCCTTCACACACACACACACACACACTGTACTGAGCAGCACAGCGGCTCTGCTGTTCTAAACCCACTCTCAGCCGGCAGAAGTAGCAGCACAAAGGCTGATCTGAGATCTGAGAGGAAGAGACCGTGGGCCGCCGTATCAGGCATGATCTTCTTGCTATGTTTCTGTACCTTGATCGTGTAAGGACCCTTGCTGTCTATGGAGGGTCAGAGAGCTCTCGGAATTCATCAAAAATATCTTATTTTGTGTGTGTACACAATTGTGTGTCCAGAGAGAATAAAAATAAAAGTCATTTTTGTGGGGAGGCCAACAGAAAATAATCCTTATTGTTGAGCCCTTCACACACACACACACACACACTGTACTGAGCAGCACAGCGGCTCTGCTGTTCTAAACCCACTCTCAGCCGGCAGAAGTAGCAGCACAAAGGCTGATCTGAGATCTGAGAGTAAGAGACCGTGGGCCGCCGTATCAGGAAGGAATCTGCACTGCTGTGACCTCAGTGACCTCTGACCCCTGTGTGTGTGTACTCACTCTCTGAACCTGCGGCTGTGGATCTTGGTGATGGCGGACGCAGCCATGGGGCTCCCGATGCCGGAGCTGGAGGGCGAGCCCTGTGACACGGGTGTGATGCTGTAGGGAGAGTTCTGACTGGCTGGAGACAGAGACGCATCACTGGGCATGCTCAGACCGTTCTCTGCAACACACACACACACACACACACACACACACACACACACACACAGAGAGACACACACAGGAGACCGATGAGGACTGCTGCACACATTAAACAGCAAATACACATGATTGTGTCTTTGTTATCATATTAGGGTGCTCCATGATACTGGAAAAAGCCTGATAACTCCATGTATTGTTTTTCTGAGATATATATTGCGATATGAATAAATACATGCATTTTTAGCAGATGACTTCTGTTATAGCTTTATTTGGAAATAATTTATTTAAACATTTAATCTACCAATATTACTTTATATTTTTAAAAATATTGTTTATTTTCATATTTCTATAATACCATTGTACTATATTTAATATAAAGTTTAAAAAAAAAGTTTAAATTTCAATTTACAGAACAATAGTACAATTGCAATAACAATATTTGTCTTAATTCCTTTTTTTCTAATGTTAAACCATCAAGATTTTATTTTTATCTTTCAAGAAGAACTTAGTTTCAGTTTAGGTGATTACTGATAATTGTTGAGTACCATAATTGATTCTGTAATTTTCCTTTTGAATCCTGTAAAGTTGCTTTGACACAATCTGTATTGTATAAAGCGCTATAGAAATAAATGTGATTTGACAGGTTTATAAAGTGTATTGTGTGTATCTGTGTGTGTGTGTTTATGTGTGTGTGTATCTGTGCGTGTGTGTATGTGTTTGTGTGTGTTGTGTGTGTGTTTCTGTGTGTATCTGTGCGTGTGTATCTGTGCATGTGTATCTGTGCGTGTGTGTGTTTGTGTATCTGTGCGTGTGTATCTGTGCATGTGTGTGTTTATGTGTGTGTGCGTGCGTGCATGCGTTCGTGCATGTGCGTGAGTATCAGTGTGTGTGTGTGTGTTTATGTGTGTGTGTGTGCACATGTGTTTGTGTGTGTGTGTGTGTGTATCTGTGCGTGTGTGTGTGTGTGTTTGTACCATCCTGCTCCTGTGTGAGCGGGTCGGTGAAGGTCAGAGCGTCTCTCTGCTCGTCGGCTCCAGATACGCTGTTCTCAGCAGAACTCTTGCCCTTCTTCACCTCACGCTCCTGCAGAATGATCTACACACACAGAGAGGGGTTAATGCTGTGTGATGTCATATCCTGTCATGCTCAGTACTGCATGTGTGTTTTCTGGAGCACCTTCTTCATGGCGGTGGTCTTCTTGACTTTGGGAATCTCTCTCTCTTTCCCTCTCTTGATGCGTGGTGCGCTGGAGTCCAGGATGTTGTGAGGGGGGGTGTATGTGTTTTTGAGTCCTGTCACTCGACTGCCGCCATCTTTACTGTGCAGAGCGCCCACTGTCCCGACTGACAACAGCACAGGTGTTAGATTTTATTTTTATATTTTAAATAATGTAAAATATTTTTATTATATTAAATAAAATAAATAAATGCTAAAAATGTCCTTATCCTCAG